TCAGCCCTGCCCAAATGGGTCAGTGCGGTGGTTGCTGTTTATAGACGTCTGAGTCAACTGGTTTAACCAGAAGAACATTTACTGTCCCTGTAACTGGGGCTCCAGAGACAAGCCATGCTCCAGACGCGGTGTGATCCAGGCGTGGGCAAGGACCGTCCGTCTGTCCGCCAGCCGGCCTCAGTCCTGATTACACCGTGGGCCAAGAGCAAGAGGGCGCAGCCGTGCCCACCACCACTTGCAGACACGGCCACTTTACAGGCCTGGTTTATGAAATGAGGTGGGAGAACGAAGGCCTAGAGCCGTCAGGAGCTCAGGAATTCACCTGTCTTTGGACATGGCCAGTGAGGAGTGTGAAAAGAAGGGCACAATTGAGTCAGGGTAAACACACCTGTCGGAGAAAGGTATCTCTCGGAGAAGGGTATCTGCCGGACAAGGCTGCTTCAGAAAGTCTGTGGGAAGATGGAATTAAAAGATAGCGTATTGTGATTCCAAAAAAGAAATCTAATTTTGAAGCCCATGCAAACTTTTTCCGTAGTATGCATTTCGCATGAACTTTTGAAGACTGCCGCCTAGGCATGGATTTATGTACCTTTTTTTTTTTTTTTTTTTCTTGTGTAGACAGAGTGGACAGTGAGAGAGAGAGAGACAGAGAGAAAGGTCTTCCTTTTGCCGTTGGTTCACCCTCCAATGGCTGCCGTGGCCGACGCACCACGCTGATCCGAAGCCAGGAGCCAGGTGCTTCTCCTGGTCTCCCATGGGGTGCAGGGCCCAAGCACTTGGGCCATCCTCCACTGCACTCCCTGGCCACAGCAGAGAGCTGGACCGTAAGAGGGGCAACCGGGACAGAATCCGGCGCCCCGACCGGGACTAGAACCCGGTGTGCCGGTGCCGCAAGGCGGAGGATTAGCCTAGTGAGCCGCAGCGCCGGCTGAATTTATGTATCTTTTAATTTCATTCTCCATGAACTTTTAGAAGTACCCCATCTGTACTTATGTATGAAATCACAACAAACATGAATTTAGCAACAATGTTAGAAAAAATGAGGCACCCAAAAGTTCCGATGAAGATCAGCCAAAGGAAACAGATTCGTCACGGGCTGTCCCCACCACAGACCTGCACGTTGCTTTCCAAGAGGTAGTATGGCTTCCGAGTGGTGGGGTGGGACGTTCTGTTTGCTCATCCTCCCTTTCGGGAATGCCCAGTTGCTGACAAATGCACCAACTGAAAACTCAGAGGCAGCTTCCTCTCTGGCTCACAAGGAAAACCCGCGGTGGATTTATGGAAACACTTCCCTCCAGGGCCATCTCAGCAGACGAGACGCCACGTGAACTTGACCCTCCCCCTCTCTTTTATCTGAATCGCTTCCATTAGTCACTATTTATCTAGGAACAAAACTACGTCAACAGCGTCGATGCCTTTCAGACGTCACTTAAAAGCCATTCTCTGGGAAACATTGCCAAAGCATCCGTACTTGGACACAGCGAGAGCGCCGAGGGAACACACACGGGCAGTGCTCCCTCCAGCAGCGGCCGGACTTCTCCACACGCAAGCGCACACGTGGGAAGCCATGTCTCGGTTCTGAAACATCAAATCCCAAACCAACTTTTTCAGATCCGATGTTCAACTTCCCATGAAGTGCGAGGGCGGAGTTAACAAAGGTAATGAAAATTATTCTTAAGCAAACTCCTAGCATCTTATCTTCTGTTATAACTAAGTAAACATCCCTCTAGGGCTGCCCATGTAGAATGCAGCCTACACTGTACAGGGACAGCGCCTGCACGCCTCAGCACTGGCCTGGTACTCCTTGTTCCCCAGCTGGTCAGGAACCAATATTCACCAAGTCTCTTCCCAAAATACTCAAAAATGCATTTAATCTGGCTGGCGCCGTGGCTCAATAGGCTAATCCTCCGCCTGCAGCGCTGGCAACCCAGGTTCTAGTCCCGGTTGGGGCGCTGGATTCTGTCCCGGTTGCTCCTCTTCCAGTCTAGCTCTCTGCTGTGGCCTGGGAGGGCACTGGAGGATGGCCCAAGTGCTTGGGCCATGCACCCACATGGGAGACCAGGAGGAAGCACCTGGCTCCTGGCTTCGGATCAGTGCAGCGCTGGCCACAGCAGCCATTTGGGGGATGAACCAACAGAAGGAAGACCTTTCTCTCTCTCTCTCTCTCTCTCTCTCTCTCTCTCTCTCTGTCTCTCTCTCGCTCACTGTCTAACTCTACCTGTCCAAAAAAAAAAAATTAAAAAATGCATTTAATCTCAAAGCACTTTTAAGGGCTCTTGCAGTCTAAAATTGCTAATCATGGAAACAGGTTTCCTTGGTCCGTTTGTGTTGCCATAACAGAATACCACGAACTGGGCAATGTATAAAGAATGGACATTTACTTCTTTCAGCTGTGGAGGCTACAGTGATGGGCGAAGGTATCCTTGCTACGTCATCCCAATCAGGAAGGTGAAGGGCGAGGGGGCATGTGAGGAAGAGAGAAAGGGAAGGAGAGTCAAATTCACTGTTGCAACAAACCCACTGTTGTGCTAATGCAGCCACTCTTGCTGTGACAGCAACATGAACCACCCACGATGACTGAGCCCTCAGCACCTGATCACCTCTTCACGGTGCCCCCTCTCAGCGCCGCTGCATTGAGGGTTAAGTTCCCAACACATGGACTTCGCAGGACACATTCAAACCCCAGCAGGAGTGTTTGGGGGAATCAGCGAGCTGGTTTAGCTAAGTAGACCTACGTGTCTGGTCTTCTCTGTGGTCAGGGCTCTCATCATGACCTTGGGCGAAAGAAACATCCTGGGTCCCAAGTTCCTTGCACCAAAAAGGATGGCAATCAGTGTATGCAACAGAAAACCCCACCGGAGTGGTTTGCCTAAAAAAGGGCTTCATTCTCTCAAAACTAAGTCCAGGGCTGAGGTGCAGCCCACGACAGCGCCGGCATCCCTGCTCCTCCTGTGTCCTCTCTGCCACCCTCAGCCCACGGCTTTCATCCTTACCTTCATCACGTGCGGGTGGTAAGATGCGCTCCACCTCAAGGCTCACAAAAATATAAGAAAGCAGGAAAGGGGGCTGGCCCTGTGGCACAGCAGGGAAAGCTGCTGCCTGCAGTGCTGACACTGTACTCTTTTCTTTCTTTCATTCTTTTTTTTTTTTTTTTTTTTTTTTTTTTTTTTTTTTTTTGACAGGCAGAGTGGACAGTGAGAGAGAGAGAGACAGAGAGAAAGGTCTTCCTTTGCCGTTGGTTCACCCTCCAATGGCCGCCGCGGCCAGCACACTGCGCTGATCCGATGGCAGGAGCCAGGTGCTTCTCCTGGTCTCCCATGGGGTGCAGGGCCCAAGGACTTGGCCCGTCCTCCACTGCACTCCCTGGCCACAGCAGAGAGCTGGCCTGGAAGAGGGGCAACCGGGACTAGAACCCGGTGTGTTGGAGCTGCAAGGCGGAGGATTAGCCTAGTGAGCCGCGGCACTGGCTGACACTGTATTCTTTAAGGACAATGATTTGTGTCCTGGATGCTCCACTTCCAATCCAGCTCACCGCTAATGACCTAGAAGAAGCAGTGGAGGATGGCCCAAGTTTTGGGGCCCCTGCCCCCGACATGGAAGAAGCTCCTGGCTCCGGGCTCTGGCTTGGCCCAGTCCTGGCCTTCATGGCCATCTGGGAGTGAGCCAGCAGATGGGAGGTCTCTCTGTCTCTCTCTTGCTCTGTGTGTGTGCGTCTCTTCCCCTCTCTGTAACTCTGATGTTCCAATAAATAAATAAATCTTTGGAAGGAGGGAGGGAGGGAGAAAAAATGTGCTTTCCTAGAAGCTCTGAAATTGCGCCTGCATACCTCATGGACTCAAACTCTGTCACATGATAGCGACATGGAAAGACTGGGCACTGAGTTACTTCTCCAGGTACATTGCTACCCGAAATAAAATGAGTTTAGTTAATAAGGAAGAAGAGCAAAATCTATGCTTGGTTGGCAGACAGCAACGTCTGCTACACATCCCTCTGAAACAAGGCCTCTCTTACCTCCCATGCTGCTCCTCACCCATTCTTGCATTTAGCAAAATGCACTGAGTACCTTCTTCCTCCAGGCAGTCTCTCAGGTGCTAAGGACGCAGTACCAAGCGTCCATGAACACAATCAGTGGAACAATAAGCCAGTACAGGGGTCCTGTGCAAACTGAGATCTGATGCAGGACGCAGACCTCCCTTTCTCATTCAGCGGTAAACGATGCCCTGCAAGATGAACTGATGGTTCCGAGCAGACCCCAGAGGTTAACTGCAACCGATTCGTGACATCCACCTGTTCCTTCCTCCCGCCCTCCCGGCTGAGAGCCTTGGAACACGGCAGGGGCCTCTCAGTGGTGAGAAGGTGAGATCATGATTGCAGGCTGATTCCTGAGGGGACCTGACTCCCATCGGTCCCCAGGGCAATCCCGAGGACAATGCACCCTGGAAGGTCATTCCAGGCAGTCCATCTCCATATCACTATTCAAATGAAAACTGAGCAAGAACTCTGGAAAATTCATTAGGCAGCTGCCAGCGTAAATCACTGGAAGCCTTTCGGGAAGACGGTGGGAGGTGCACATCGACAGCTTCCAAGCCTTCCCATGCAGAAGCCCAGTGCCCTGGCTTTACTTTGGGGAATGGAGAGAGGAAGGACTGGACCTGCAGGAAACCCTATGCACTAAGACACTCACTGTAGCGTGCGATACACAGTTGCACACCAAGGAAACAATCTAAACATTTATCAGTAGGACAACAGGGGAGGAGTCTTCAAAAGTTTATAGAAAGTGTGTATCATGAAAAACCTCTGCATGGTTTCAAGACTTTTTGCAGCAAAATACACTATCTTTTTTAATTTTCTTTTTTATAGAAAGCTTTTATTTAATGAATACAAATTTCATTGGTACAACTTTTGGATTATAGCAGTTCTTCCCCCCATACTCACCCACCCACCCCCACCTCCTACTCCCTCTCCCATCCCACTCTTCATTAAGATTCATTTTTAATTATCTTTATATACAGAAGATCAACTCTATACTAAGTAAAGATTACAAAAGTTTGCATCTATACAGACACATAAAGTTTAAAGTACTCCTTGAGTACTAGTTTTACCATTAATTCACATAGTACAACACATTAAGGACAGAGGTCCTACATGGGGAGCAGGTGCACAGTGACTCCCGTTGTTGATTTAACCATTGACACTCTTATTTATGACGTCAGTGATCACCCGAGGCTCTTGTCACGAGCTGCCAAGGCTATGGAAGCCTCTTGAGTCCACAAACTCCGACCTTATTTAGACAAGGCCATAATCAAAGTGGAAGTTCTCTCCTCCCTTCAGAGAAAGGTACCTCCTTCTTTAACGGCCCCTTCTTGCCACTGGAATCTCACTCACAGAGATCTTTCATGTAGGTCATTTTTGGCCACAGTGTCTTGGCTTTCCAAAATACACTATCTTCTAACCCATTTTTTTCTTCCCTACTCCCCCTCTTAATCCATTTTCCATAGATTTTTTGAAGTGCTCTCATGTAAGTAAATAATGACACATACACTCAATGAAATGGCATAGGACCACTGTGATGGTTATAAAGACTACCTCCTCAAGAAAAATACTGCAAGACACAAACCTACATGTACACTCTCACTACCACCTTTAAATATACACAAGAAATACCTTAAAAATGGCAATAATTGGTAAGTGATTATGTGAGTATGAGTGGTCATATTTTAAGTGATTAGTTTCTCTCAATCTTCAGATTTTTCTGCGTGTTTACATGAAAATAAATATATAGTTTGAAAAAGCAAAGGGCAATTAAGTGCTTTGTGAACTATTTTACCTTCTCTAGAATGATATACAAACCCTGGGCGGGGAAGTGACCTGGTACATAGTTCCTTTCATGGATTTAGAAGAAAGACGGTACCAACAGAAGGTAGAAATCGAACAGGTAAATACCTGTTTTGAATCTTCCCAAACTCAGTAGGGCTCGCTTTTTAAAAAGCCTACTCTTAGTATTTTAATAGAATTCTTAAGAAAGCTCTTTTCTCTATACTTAGATCCCTAAGTTCCAAAAAAAAATGTTTCCATGAGTCAAACAGAATATGATGGCAACAGTCCAGATGTTCGGGCCAAAAACACCACCGATTTTCCCTGAATCACTTGGGCAAGCCAAGCAAAAGATTTCCTTGTAGTCTGACTACAGTTTTATTTCACGATGCAGAACAGGTATGACCTGCTTTCCCCTTTTCTCTCCCCATCAAAATTGCTTAAGCAACATGAGCCACGGTGTTTTCAAGCACACTTGTTATTCCCACATTTTACCAACTTGTCCCAACCTGCAGAGCAATCACACTGGGCAAAGGAAAATTCTGGTGCCCTAGAGGATACAGTTGAGTGCGCGCACCCTTGGGATCTGGCTCTGAGCGGCTCAGATCTTCCCCCGATCCTCCCAACCAAGCCTGCAGAGCAGTGGCTTCAGGAGGTCCCTCAGCAGACGTTTGGTTTTCCCATGAGTGCTTCTGGGACATGTACTGCCTTAGGGATCTCTGCTTAGCCTCCCATTACTGGCGACACGAGAACGATTAAGTCCTCCCCTTCAAGGGTCTTCCTGTTGGCTCGGGAAGAAGATGGCTACAACACAGAACACACACATGGGCTGAGTACTGACCATGGCTGAGAACCTCGGCCCCGAGGGTTCAGGGTCACACTCAGGAGAAAGCAGCAGGGAAGATGTCTGACCCCATGCTGGAGGTCGGGACGAGTTCCTCACATCCAATTCTGGGGAGCAGGGAGGTGGACTTTGTGAGGCTCAGGTGTGTTACGGAGCCCTGCCCCTAGAAAGTGCACACAGTGTGTACCCACAAATATCTGCGTATGAGTTCAGAAGATTCAGGGACCGTGTCCCTCCAAAGCCATCCATTAGCGAGAGTACACGGCAGCATGGCAATAATTAATACCGAGTATGTCCTGTGCTTCATGGTCCATACATGTTTTCTGTGTTAATCCTCGCAACAAAACTATGGCACAGGAAGCACTGTTTCAATTATGCCAATAGGGACACGCAGAATCAGAGAAGTTACTCACCCAGATTAGAAGGGGGGTTCAAGTCAAGCCGAGCAACCACAGGGGCGCATCCTTTAGCCCGCCACCACTGCACCGCTGCTTCACCCCGAGAAAACAGAGCCCTTCGGGGCGAATAACTCGCCCGAGGCCACGTGGGCCGCAGCAGCTCACCAGCCCTCGACACAGATGCAGGACAGCTGAAGTCCTACGTGAGGCGGATTTGTGGGCAGGATTACTGAGGCAAGGCTTAGAGCCTGCCCGGCCACTGCAGTGTCCTGCAATGCCAGGGACGGCAGAGCTGGGCGCCGCTCTCAGCATGAACCGGGGGCGAGTCCAGACCCCCAGCCGACCTGGGGGAGCAGGAGCAGGGGAGGCGTCTGCGAGACATTCTCCAGTGTGGAGCTTCTGAAGGCCAGGCAGAGCCCGGCATCCCGCTCCAAAAGGCCAAAAAGGACCGAAAGGAGGGAGGGACGTGCAGGAGACGCCGCGTGTCCCGGAGTAGCCGACCCATCCGTAACACTGACGTCCAACCCCGTCTACTGCTGTGCCCTCTCACGGGGAGGCCGTTCAGCCCTTCAGGGTCAGGGACGCAAAAAAGCTGGAATAAACCAGAATCACCACTGTCGGCTCTGCGCACGGCCGCTCACGATGGCTGTCACAGAGTCCGTGTTTCACTCCACCGCGGAGTAGCAAAGGGTAGAAAGTTCAGCCATGCAAGGCACGCAAGCTCTGGAGATGGCGCGCACAGCGAGAAGACACAGTCAGCGAGACTGTGTTTCACACTTAAAAATGTGCTGACAGGGCGGAGTTCACGCTAAGCACTCTTACCACAAAAAGAGGAGACAGGAGGAGGTGACTGTGGCCACGGTCTCATGGGCATACACTTAGCTCCTCACACATCAAGATGTACATAAGAAAGTTCTACAGCTTTTGCATGTCAATCACACCCTCAATAAAGTGGTAAACTAAACAGATGCAGTTCACAAAGGACCACATATTGAATGAGTCCATGTATATGAAATACACAGAACAGGCAAATCAACAGAGATAGAAACAGACGAGTGGTTTTCCAGAGCTTGGGACAAGAAACAGGAGAGTAAGGGGTGACACTTAAGGGGTCTAGGGTTTCTTCTGGTGGTTATAAAAATGTTCCAAAATTGATAGTGCCGATGGTTGCACAAGTCTGTGAATCCACCAAAGTCACTGAACTGTGGGCTTTCATGAGTGAATTGTATGGGGTGGGAACTCTTTCTCAGTGCAGCTGATTTCAGTAAAATAAAGCATATCTGGATGTCTCGGCTGGAAACAGACAACAGTCCTGTCTCACCGCAATTTAGAATGGGAATGGTATCAGACACCGTGTTTACCAGGCCTGGTGCCAAGGACATCGGATTATTTTCAGAAGTCAAGCTCACTCTCAGAGGACACACATCTGCCAACACTCAAGACAGCCCAAAAACTCAGGCCTGAGATCAAGAGCCTACTGCTGATAGGATCGACAAGAAATGCTCTTACTTGTGTACCAATGTCATCTCTCATACGAGGCCTGCAGGAGAAAGGACACAGCAATGGTCAAATTACAAATTATAGAAAGAAAAATATGCCTGACCACTTGCTAGCTGAGTGACTTTGTTTCTGTTATTGTTTTTATTTGAGAGGGAAAGAGAGAGAGAGAGAGCGAGCCAGCACTGTGGGCCGATTCACTTTCCATATGCCTGCACCGTCTGGGGCCAGGCGGGACCTCAGTCAGAAGTCAGGAACATAATCCAGGTAGTGACAGAAACCCGATCACTTGAGCCATCACCACTGCCTCCTAGGGTCCACATGAGCAGGAAGCTAGAAACAGGAGCCCGAGCTGGGAACTGAATCCCTGTGCTCTGGCAGACATGGGCAACTTAAGCACTAGGCTAAACGCCTGGCCATAGTTAAGTGACTTTAGACACATTCCTAGCATGTTCTTGCAGCCTCTGTCTTTATGCATTTTATTCAATGAATAATATTATTTCAGAAGGGTTGTTGGGAAGATTAAACAAAATTGTGTGTACAAAGTTTGGCACAACAAATTCTCCCAATAAACAGTAACTATTTTTATTATTCCAAGCATTTGAGGACAACAACTTTTATGTCCATAGAACATCCAACCCAATGTCTAGACACTGAAATATTTAATGAATAAAGAAATCACGACATAATTGGGTGGAGCGATTTCTCTCCAAAAGGCTGCCCACTGATAAATCTATTTTAGCAACAATTTAGCATTTAACTAATCAGATTTCTCAGGCCAAAGAAAACACTGGAACTCTGATAGCATTTTCCTGAACTTGTTGTTTGTGAGGGCTGTCTGCGCAGTTCAGAATTTTCACTTATCTGTAGTGAAAACAGAAATGAGACCAAATGCCCTCCTAGTAGCAGAGGGACACTGAGACATCTACCGGCTTCTTTGTGTCATCTTAATCTAATAAAACACGCAGAAAAGAAAAACAAAACAAAACCCTTCAAATGTCTCACTGCTGCGAACTCCGACTGTGTTAAAGATACTGACCAGGAGAGAAATTCCCTCTCACCTTCCCAGCTCTTCACAGAGACCATCACTGGGCAGAGGGATTACAGAGCTTCTGTGACATTGGAGTCCCCGTACCCAGCACTCAGCTGGGCTCAGGAAGCGACTGTTGATAAAATCTTACCATCACTTAATGACAACTTGTGGGGGAAAAAAAAGTGTCACTCCTGTGTACAAAAGCCTGAAGAAGATGGATTTAACTTACTTCACTCCCCCTCCCCAGAATGCTCTCCACCCAGAGCTGGGGCAGCCAAGGCTGCCAACCGACCGTGGGTTGAACATGGCAGAATTTTTCCTCTGGTTCCTAGCTTGGCCACTCAGTATGTCTGCCCTTGACAATGCGGAGCGTCTCGTCCCGGACAAGTGGTGGATTTCCAAGTGACAGTTCTGCAAAGGCCCCAGTCTAAAGTGGAAGTTGACCTTGATACCCAGAAGCCTGGGTTTCTCGAGCTTTGACAGCTGGGTGGATATTTCACATGGGAGGGGGCAGGTGAGTGATGTATGTACACCATAAGACATGCCTAGGCAGCGGCAACGGTACAGTTAATTCAGTGAGATATCTGCTTTATGTAAGTCACGCAATGAATAAAAGTCAGACGGTAGAATCTCCTGCAATTTGGGCTCTGGGGGACAAGGCAAAATCCCGGTACTGCAGCTGTCTCTGCAGGCTTGACATCTCTGGATCTCTCTCAAAAATCATGGATCAGTCCTCGCTTTGTATCAGACGTGTCAGACTCATAAATCAAGTCATAGCTGAGCCTCTCGGCCTCTGCGATGCTGGCCAACAAGGGGCTTTTACACTTGATTTCCAAACCAGAGCTCTGTACTACTGAGTCAGGATCAGCCCTGGGTACGCATGACGTCCAGGTATTTTTCAGTTCTACGAGTATCTATTGTTCATCAGAGATGTAAAAGCTGGGGATTTTCCTCTGTCACACGATGTCCTTTACTTGGCTCTCTGACCTTCACTTGTGTTGGTTTCCCTCCACGTCTCTGAGCTACCGAGGCCATTTTGAATTCTGAACCCACAGCAAGACACTGATCCCTACTGTCCCTATCTGATCCCTACTGTCCCTATCTGAGTCTGAACCCACGTGGTGCTTGGGAAGTCAGTGCTCCCGGCCTCCCAGCTTCTGTGCTGACTTTGCTAGCTCTCGGCTTCAGCCCTTCCAGTCACTTGGGCAGTCCAGTCTTCTCTGTGCCTGGATCCTTCTGGTCAAATTGTGGTTCATGAACCAAAAGTATCAACATTATCTGGGTGTTTTGTAGAAATGCAGAACCTTTGGCTTCACTCCACCCCAACAAATTTGTACAGAGATTGAAGCTTGAGAGGTACTGACTTGCATTATCCAGCTTTATTGATAAGATTATTATTAGGGAAAGAAAAAGAAAGCGTGCCCCAAATCATAGTAACAGAGCATCAATTTCTGCGTCAAGCTATTAGCTTACCAGTCAGTTCTAGGAGAGCTGCTACTTTCAGAAGGCAAATTCTTTAGAAAGTAAAGATAATGTAATTCCGATGACAATTGATTTCCATTCCACATTTACTGAGCACGCACCACGGGCAGCCATCTGCTCTAAGAGACACAACAATGCACAGAAGAATACCCATCACCAGGTAACTTCCAATCTGACAGGACGCCTATGTCAAGAACGCGAAAACGTGGTGAACTGTAGAAAGTGGGTTAAACAGCATGCTGTCGTTCTGAGAGGGGAAGTGGGGTTGTATCAGCTCCCAAAGAAACACCAGTTCCCCGTCCCGCAGACATTTTCTCAATCAAACATGGCTGACTGTGGGCAGCACGACCCTGCTCTCCCCAGAGATGACCGATTTCACTGAGAAACACAAATGTAAGAAACCACGCTTTCTGCTACTAGTTACGTGGATGCGGACATTACAAATAAGTCTTTGGTTCATTTCTGAGTTGATTTTTGTATATGGTAAGAGAGAGGGGTCAAGTTACATTCTTTTGCATATGGAAATCCATTTACTTCAGACTACCCTTTTCCCACTGTGGTTATAAACATGCTAGAATATTATTCAACCATAAAGGGGATGAAATCCTGCTGGTTCCAACAACATAAATGAGTCTGAAAGACACTGTGCTAACTTAAAGCAGCCAGCCACAGAAAGACAAATACATCATCATTGGAGCCAATGCTATGGCTCAGCAGGTTAGCGCCCTGCCTGAAGCGCCAGCGTCCCATCTGGGCACTGGTTCTAGTCCCGGCTGCTCCACTTCCGATCCAGCTCTTTGCTATGGCCTGGGAAAGCAGTATTAGGTGGCCCAAGTCCTTGGGCCCTTGCACCCACATAGGGGACTCCTGGCTTCAGATCAGTGCAGTTCCGGCTGTTGCAGCCAGTTGAGGAGTGAACTAGTAGATAGAAGACCTCTCTCTCTCTCTCTCTCTCTCTCTCTCTCTGCCTCTATTCTCTCTGTGTAACTCTGACTTTCAAATAAATAAATAAATCTTAAAAAAATACATCATGATCATTCGTTTGTTGGATCTGAAGAAGTTCACCTCACAGAAGGAGCACAGTGCTGGGCAGGAGTTGTGGGACAGCAGGTCAAAGCCACCTCTTGGGATATCAGAGCTCTGGGTCATGTCTCAGCTACTCTGCTTCTGATCCACCTTCCTGCTAATACACTTGGGAAGACAGAGAAGGATGCCCAAATACTTGGACTCTTGCCGCCCACGTGGGAAACTCAGATGGAGTTCCAGGCTCCTGACTTTGGTCTCGCACAAACCTGGCTGTGGTAGGCATCGGGGAGTGAACCAGCAGCTGAAGATCTCCCCCTCTGTCTCCACCTCTCTCTCTCTCTGTCACTCTGCCTTCCAAATAAATTTTTTTAAAGTAATGGTTACCATAGGCTGAAGAGGGATGGGGAGTGAAGACAGAGCTACAGCTAGACAGCATAGTAAGTTCTGGTATTCCTTAACACCGTAGGGATCTTTGCACAGCAGTCACGCATCCTGTATTTCAAACAGCTAGGAAAGAGGATTTTGAATAATCTCACAACAAAGAAATGCTAAATGTTTAAGGTGACAGAGGCACTAATCACCCTGATTGATCATAACACAGCATATACATACATTGAAACATTGTAATGCATCCGATAAAGATGTAAAATTACCAGGTATCAGTAAAAGAAAAGAAAAAGAAGACTAGCACATCCTCTCCCCAGCAAATCTACCACTCTGTGTCCTTCCTCCTGCCCCAGTAGATGAATTATTTCTGCTCCCATCTGGAGCCAATCAGCACACTGCTCGCCCATCACCTGCTCAACAGGAACTGAGTTACTCTTGCATTCTCTCTCCTTTCTCCCTCTCTCCATCAATTTCCTTCCTACCCCATCAGTGTTTCTCAGCCAAGAGTAAATGTTCTGTCCTCTAGCTCCCCTCAGGAACATTTCACAGTGCCTGGGAACATTCCGGGCTGTCACCGCTGGGATTGTGCTAGTGGGATCTGACGGGAGAGAGATCAGGGAGTCTAAGAGCCTACACTGCCCAGGACCGTCCCCACAACAAAGAATGATTGGAACCAAAGACGTCAGCAGCACCGCAGATGAGAAACCCCGTACCAAGTCAGCCAAGGATGATACGGTATCCTCGGTGTGGACTGAATCGTGTCCCCCCCAAAATTCCTATCAAATCCTAACCCCCAGTGTAGACAGAGAAAGGGCCTTCAGGATTCACTGAGATCACTGGGGGTGGAACCCTAATCTCAGAAGACTGGTGTCCTTAGGAGAAGAGGCAACACCAGAGGTGCTCTCCTTCCCTTCCCCCACCCCTATCACCCCCTCTCACACGCAGGCAGAGGAAAAGTCCCACGGGGCCACCGCGAGAAGGTGGCCATCCGCAAGCCAACCCAGCCATGCTGGTCCTGACCTTGAGTTCCCAACCTCCGTAACTAGGAGAGACCTAGGTTCATCTGCTGTTTGAGTCACCCCGTCTGTAGCATTTTCTCACAGCAGCTCAAGCAGACTAATCCAAGCCCCACCTTCAATAGTAAACTTCTCCCACCCAAACACCCATCAGCAGGTGAAAGGATCAATAAATGCAGCCTGTCCTCACAACGCTATGACACAGCAACACCGAGGGTCAGAACACCGGTGCTTGCTGCAACATGCATGAACCCCACAATAAGCAGAAGCCCCACGCAAGTGACAGCACATTGTATGATTTCCCTATGTGACATTCCCATGAACGGCAATTCTAGAGAAACAAAAAGCGGATTAAGTGCCTGCCTGGAGCTGCAGGTGGGACCTGGATAAACTGTAAATGAGATTTTACTGGGAGGTGGGGGTGGGGGCGGCAACGTTTTGAAGCTGGTTTATGGTGATGGTTGCACAACTTGGTACAAATCATTGAACTACACACATAAAGGGATTGAATAATACAGGCTGTAAAGTGTATCTCAGTCAAGGTGTGTAAAATAGATTTAAATTAACAGGCTGTTTTACAAACGTCTTTAAAAAGCTCCCCCACTCCCTGTTTCTCTCCAATTACCAGCCTATTTGTCAGCTCCCATTACACAAAACTCCTCCGGATTGTTCCTTATGTGAAGTATCCCACGGCCTCACCTGCAGTTCTCCCGGGCCGCTCCAAACAAGACTTTACACGGGCTAATGCTCCTCTCCCAAATCACCATGACCTTGCCATCCCCAACGGTGATGGGCGCCGGCCTCACCGCACTACCCACAGCATTTTACACCCTGGGCTCCTGACCCCTTCTCTGCCAGCACGCACCCAAGTGGTCTCACTCCCCATTCCGAGGGCTGGAGCCCAGGCACGGACCAGCTTCCTCCCCGGGATTTCAAACACCTACACACAGTGAAGACCCCGCCTTTATTCCTCACCCCACCTCTCCCTGAACTCCAGCACATCTCCCCCTGGACACAGAACAGGCACTCATGCTGAAGTGCTCCCAAACTGGGCTAACTGAGCACCTGCCAATCCCACAGCCCAAATCTGCACCTTCCCCAGTGTGCTACACCTCGATAAACAGCACCATCACTCGCCCAGGTGACGAGGACACACATCTTAGAATCATCCTCGACTTCGCCCCTTGCCCTTAGCCAATCCGCAACAAACCCAGTCCCCTCTCTTTCCACGTGCATGCCCCACCTAACCACAGTCACCCTGCACTGTACCTTCTTTGTCCAAGCTGCCACCGTGTGCCGCCTGGACGGTGGCAGGAGCCTCGGACACAGGTTCTCGTCCACTCTGCTCCCCGGAGTCAGAGCAACATTGCTGAAATGTAAGTGGGGTCCCCGTTGTCCTGGAGCCGTAGAGGTGTGGGTGCATCTGGGGAGGCAACACAGCAAACTTGTCCGGGGAGGCCCGCCCCCGTAGGGATAAGATAGGGCCATGTGCTGGTGACAGAGAGCCCCAGGGTGTCAGTGTGCCTGGGCAGGAGGCACAATGAGGCCCCCAGGGAGATAGACACTTACCCTCTGCCTTGCAACTGGAAGCGGACTCTCAGACTCCCGCTGGGGCTGAGGCCTGGGGGTCCCCCTGAGGGGTCAAGTACCAGGGGCAGAGTCCACTCTACAAACAGAAAAGAAGCCAATGGGATCTGAGAAGCCGCAGACGGGTGCTGTGCGTCTCACAGCCCTGGCACTGTCCCTGGATACGTTCTCGCACACACTCACGCTGGCGGTCTCAGGAACAGTCCCAGCTGCAGACTGATCCGTGCACACCCCGGGGGACAGGCTGCAGCCCTGCAGCCGGCCCCACTGTTCTGCTACCGGATGCCATGCCTCTGGCCTCCCACGGCACAGCCCCGTCTCCGGAGACCCAAGGGCAGGGCAGGTGAGCACACCCCAGCGCACTCCAGGGGGACTGTGACAAGGGGGCAGGAAGAGGCCAATGGCTTCAGGCTTCCTGAAGGCGGCCCAGGATACCTCCTGTGGTCTCCTAGGTGGCAGCTGTCACTGATTTGATTGACGTCTCCCCTCCCCCACCACAGGAGGGCCCGGGGTGCCCAGCCCAGGCCGGAGAGATTCTGCAGACACCAGGTTTGCAGAGCTGGGAAGCGGCCTCAGCAGGACCCAGCGGGAGGTAACAGACCTGGGGCGCGGGACAGAGGCAGCAAGGAGGGGTGTGGGTTCCCAGGAGGGGCGCCCGTCGCCCCAAAACCATCCTCCGGCTGCTCCCCGGCCTGCTGCGGCCCCTGCCCAGGCTCGGTTCCCCCAGCACCAGAGCCTGGGACGTCCCCCAAACCACGGGGACCTGCAGGGCCAGTGACAGACCCTGGGTGGGCGCTTCCCAGGGGACATAGGACGCGATGGTGCCTCCAGAGGAGCTTTTTGGGTCACGGGGAAGGGGCGGGCCCAGGGCCCAGGACCCAGGTCCTAGGCCCAGCCCACGCGAGCCCAGGAAGCTGAGCCCGCTGAACGCCCACGGCCCCGCGCGACCCCGCGGCCACACTTGGGCGGCGTGAGGTCAGCACGGAGGCGGGGGTCCCCGGAGGTGCAGTCCCCAGCGCCCCCTGCTCACCCTCGTCTTCCCGCTGGCCTCAGCCCCTGCCCCCAGCCCGGAGCAGGGCGGCACCGGCTCCCCTCGCTGGTGAACGGGGTGAACCCGGGGTAGGGGGAAGGCCTGCGCCGCGCACGGCCCCCGCACGCCCCGGGGGACAGCCCCGTAGCCCCACGCAGCAGAGGCGCGGGAAGTGCACGCAGCCAGACCGCCCAAGAGGGAGCCGGGATGCCCCCGGCGGCTGCGCAAAAACCCAGGGCCGGAGGAGGAAAGGCGGAGACCGGCTGGGGCGGGAGCGTGCGTGCTGCGGGCCCGGGTCGCGGCCGCGGGGACCGGGGTGCGGACGGCAGGGACGCCCCGGGGCTGGGCGGCGCCCGGGTCGTGTCTGCGGAGCCCGGTGCTGGGCCGCGGCCGACTTCGGACGGGCTCTGAGTCAGCCAGTCGGTGGGCCGCGGTGCTGCAGCTGCCCTGCCTTGGAAACACACCTTAAACTATTTCCTCCTCTTGCCTTTTCCTCTTTTGTGTTTGCACTGGAGGAATATACAGCACCGACGTGTTCCCAGGCCTCTGAAAGATCACTTTGAATAAAAATAAAATATTCTAAGTCTCTCTCTCGAGCGCGCGCGCCGGGGCACACACAGGTCCTAAAGAGACTTAAAGCATTGACTCATTCTAGACAGCCTTGGCTATGGTGAGTGAGGAAGTACTAAGGAGGTACTAAGGGTACTGAGGGTACTAAGGAGAACAAAACAGAGCCGCAGAAACGCAGACAATGGAATTAGTATCACATTGCAGGTAGCCATTTTTATATCAAGCACCAATTAGTTTTGCAATCTTTGAAATATTGCTCTCTAGTTGAGGTGCTGGATGTGCTAATTACCCGGATTTGATGGCTATGCAATGTATGCATGTATGGAAACATCAGATTGTACCCTATAAATAAGTATAATTATCATGTGTCAATTAACAGTAAAATAGGATTGAAATATTGCTTGCGTGTTTTGACTCCTTAAGTTGATTTAAAACAACCAGGAGGATCTGCTCAATAGATTTGTGAGCCCCTAAATTAAATTTGCAGTCAACACTTAAATTTGGGAGAAATCAAATTTGTTAAATCTGCAAGTTCTTTTTTATTTAGTTACTGTGTAATTAGGGCTGAGAAGTTAGATGAATGTTGATTGTTTGAAGATGAAAAAGCTGGACTTTCCACAAAGCAGACCTTCTACTGAGCGTTCCTCTCCATGCCTGAAAATCCCTGGGGAATTCCAGGTTCTGCCAAGATCAGCCCCGCAGCAAGCACACGGAGGCGGGCTGGCCAGGAGGGGCCTGGCGTGAGAAGCCTTCCTGGACGGACACCGCACACTGGAGAGGGAGCAGCCACAGCAGGCACGTCCCCCGGCCCTGCAGCCTGGGTATGAGATGAGCAGAGCCCACCGCCCAGAACTAGAAGCGCTGAAAGACGCTGGCTTGCAAGAGGGTAGAATCCTTGTAGGAAAGACAATTTTGGCTTCCAAGGAAAAAGCTGAAAGGGACCGGGCACCATGGGCCCTGTTGAGTCCGCAGAGCTGCCACAGGGTCCTGAACATCAATGTGCAAGGGGTCTGGAGCATCCCTGGGTGTTCTACTTCTCTCTGTAGCCTGTGGCGCCATGGTGGGAGGTGGGCAAAATGGGTGAAATGCAATGGGACCAGCCCATGAGGCATGCAGGAAGCACTTGGGAGCATCAGCCACTGTCACCAGTGCCGTTCAGTCACCAGCAGGAAACACAGTATGCCATCTTGAGCCTCAGACACTCACAGCCTAGCGATTAAGTCGCCTAAATGTGCTAACAGGATCAGGGTGCCTCAAAAAGTTCATGGAGATGGAATTAAAAGATAAATTGCTCCTGAAGGGCCAGCAGTGTGGCACAGTGGTAAAGCCATCCCCTGTGATGCCAGCATCCCATATGGACACCAGTTCCTGTCCCAGCTGCCCCACTTCCAACCCAGCTCCCTGCTGATGGCCTGGAGAAAGTGTTTGGGTCCCTGCCACCCAAGTGGGAGACCCGGATAAAGCTCCTGGCTTCAGCCTGGCCCAACCCTGGCTGTTGCAGCCATCTGGGGAGGGAACCAGCTGATGGAAGATTCTCTCTATCTCTGTGTCTCTGCTTCTCTCTCTGTAACAGACTTTCAAATAAATAAATAAATCTTTTAAAAAAAATTCTCCTGGTGCAAAAAAAAAAAAAAAATCTAAATCCATGCCTAGTTCTTTGATAACACACATTTCTATGAACTTCCTGAAGATCCCCCAGATATATAGACACGAGAGAGTGAGGACTGGGAAATTCTCCACAGAGAATGGCCCCTTGCAGTGGCTTTACAAATGGCCATAAGGACGAAAGGCACGCAAAGACAAACACTGCACGTTCTCACTTGGATGTGGAAAGCGGATCTCATAGGAGTTGAACAGTGGTTGGCAAAGGCGGGGAGGCTGGGGAGAGGGATGGAGAGAGGAGGTTGATGGGTAAGGGCACTTGGATGGGAGGGATAACTCCTAATGAGCCTTAGCTCAGTCGGGTAACTGTGGTTTGCAATCATTGTGTGTTTCAAAGGAGGTAGCACAGAGGATTTTAAATGTTTCCAGCACAAAGAAATGATCATTTGAGGTGCTGGATATGCCAGTTACCATGATCTGATCGTTACACATCATACATGTGTGTTGAAGCATCCCTCTGTAGCCCAACATGTATATAATTATGTGTGTTGTAGAGACATATATGCGGTGGGCATTGGCCTAGCAGTTAACTCGCTGCTCGGCAGGCCCGCGTCCCGTATCGGGGTGTCGGGGTTACAGCCTCAGCTCTGCTCCTCATCCCAGCTTCCTGTGAGAGCAGGTGGCAGCCAGTCAGGTCCCTGCCAGACACACCTGGATCGAGCTCCGGGCCCCTGGCTTCGGCCCAGCCCAGCCCCGGCTCTTGCAGGCATCCGGGGAGTGAAACAAAGACATCTTCAAAGACATCCTTCATCCTGCTTGGGATTTTCCCAGAAACGACCTCTCCTTCCAACTGGAATGTGTGTTCTGTGCTCCTCTGTCAGCCCCATGTGCACAGACTCGGCCATGAGCACAGAACAGAAGGGAGACCTCCAGGGACCCCGCCTGCCCTTTCTGTGCGGGCTCCCGCACCACGGGGACCGCGGGGAAGAGGGGCCGTGACTGGGACAGGCGGGGCGTGAGCGAAGGACGAACCCCCGCCTCTCCTCCGTTCCTCCCCAGCCCCAGTTGTCAGGGCCCCAAATGTGATCATCCTTCTTTCCCAGGTAAACACGTGCCCAGAGAAAAGGGCCTGAGAGACCCACGGCGCAGAGACGAAGAGGAAGAAGAGCACAAGACTCCCAGAAACGTGTGTGTCAGAGCAGAAGGGCCAAGCTCAAGTTAAAGGGCTTCTGCTCCCGGAGGGGAGTGCAGGCTTCAGAGAGCCCAGGGAGACCGCCGTGTGCTGGGAGATGGTCCCAGGCCGTGGCAATGAGAGCACACAGGGCCTGGCCCAGGGTGGCTGAGTTAGAGAAGCAGGCACAAATAGAGAGCCTTCATGTTGTTCATGAAGCTAAAATGTAAACGACACTAAAATAGAATGAAGTAGAGGCACAAGGCACCTCCGAGAGTTTATGGCAAAGTAGAACCAAAAGTTAAGTCTATTTGGGGGCAAAAGATATTGAAATTCATGTGTAGCTTTTTCAAAAGTTACCTTTCCAATGAGTTCTCCTTTTTTAATGATTTTATTTATTTATTTGAGAGGCAGAGTTACAGACAGAGAGAGGGAGAGACAGAGAGAGAGGTCTTCCATCTGCTGGTCCACTCCCCAAACGGCCACAGTGGCTGCAGCTGGGTCAATCTGAAGCCAGGAGCCAGAAGCTTCCTCTGGGTCCCACACATGGGTGGGTACCAGGGCCCAAGCACTTGGGCCATCTTCCACTGCTTTCCCAGGCCATTAGCAGGGAGCTGGATCAGAAGTGGAATAGCCAGGACTTAAACCAGAGCCCAGGTGGGATGCCGGCGCCGCAGAGGGAGGCTTAGCCCACAGTGCCGGCCCCTTCCCATGACTTCTTGAAGACTCGTCATATGAAGATATTTCCAGAATTTTTCATCCCATAATAAACATCTTTTAATTCCATTTCTCATGAAGCGTCCTTATATATGAGCCAGTATAGAAAGAGACACCTAGGGAAAGGCAAGAAACAGATGAGGAAGTGTAAAATGAATATCCTACACGCATGGAAAATTCCAGAAAGACACAAAGCAGACTGGGAGCAGTGGTTAATTCTGAGGGGAGACCCTTGGAGAACTGAAGTCCAGAGTAGATTGACTAGTGCCTCTTTTTCACGTCCTTTATACTGCTGGTTTTTAGGATCTGATGTAGGGATCATTTTCTCAGTTTAAAGAAAGATAGGAGAAGACAGCATGAATATATTCAGTGGAGTAGATACATTTTGATAAAACCCACAGCGTGAGGTGTGTTTTTCAAGGACTAATGAGAGACCACAGTTAGCCACAAAACACCAGGCGGGGGCTGGCGCTGTAGTGCAGCTAGTTAACGCCCTGGCTTGAAGCGCTGGCATCCCATATGGGCCCTGGTTCTAGCCCCGGCTGCTCCTCTTCCCATCCAGCTCTCTGCTATGGCCTGGGAGAGCAATGGAAGATGGCCCAAGTCCTTGGGCCCCTGCGCCTGCGTGGGAGACCCGGAAGAAGCTCCTGGCTCCTGGCTTCGGAACAGCACAGCTCTGGCCATTGCGGCCAACTGGGGAGTGAACCAGCAGATGCAAGACTCTCTCTCTCTCTCTCTCTCTGCCTCTCCTCTCTCTGTGTAACTCTTTCAAATAAATAAAAAAAATCTTAAAAAAAAAAAAAAAAAAAACAGGCCATGAGTCAAACCCACAGCCAAAATATTTCGCTAGGATTCAGAACTCAGGTGACGTTTTGTGATTAAAAGTGACCGCAGAGCCGGGAAAGCCAGCGAGGAGCTCTCCCAGGGCTTGAGGGTGACCTCTTACCGACGCAGGCTCTGGTCTGAGATGTCCACCACATGGCTACACCTATTTTTGACCAAGGAGACCAGATTTCAGGAAGCTGTGTTCTTCAGTAGGCACATTCGCCCTGGCTCCAACCCCGAAGCGTGCCTTCAGTCACAAGCCTGGGGACAAATCCCACACATACCAGCTGAGCTGATTCTTGCAAACAGGGATTTCCCAGCTGCTTTGTAGTAATCAAGATTAAGGTGTGTTAAAATCAAAAACCACAGCGGTGGGCGTTTGACCTAGCAGTTAAGATGCCAGCTAGGGCGCCCCCCACACAGAAGCCCCTGGATCCAACTCCTGACTCTGACTTTGACTCCTGCTAACGTGGGCCGGGCAGGCACCGTGATGGTTC